ACAAAATCTTGGGACAAGTAGGCGGCAAGATTTGATGTTAACAACAAAAACTCGGGACAAGTAGGCGGTAAGAATTGATGTTAACACCGAAATCCCGGGTCATGTAGGCGGCAAGATTTGATGTTGACGAGCAGATCCCGGGGCTTTGATTGTAATCCAGGAATCCATATCCATCTGCATGCGGCAAGTGGATCAGATGGTCAGAACACCAGAGTTAAAAACATCAGTTGGAAGTTGCCTTCAGCACAAGATCCCTAGAAGGCCCTAGACTGGTCACGATCATGGGGTTTAGGTTTAGGGTTTAGGGCTTAGGGTTTGGCATAGACGGTATAGAAAGTGAAAGGATGAAAAGAATATGTTTCGGGGCATAGGAGGGTTTCCTGCCATGCTTTTGCGAGCAGCTTTGCAACGGGCTTCGGCTTCGGGAACCAATCCCAACAATGTTGGGGATGATGCCGCGACTTCTTCGGCACGCAGGCCAATTGCATCACACATTATATTACTATTGTTATCGCAATTTCTAATTCTAAAACCGACTACCAACCTCAACCCCAAAGCTGTTGTGGTCCGGCAACAGACGCTCAAGATCGAGATCACCGCCTCCGTTGTCAGCCTCGCGTGTAGAGGATGATGCTGGGAGCAGAGGCGTTCCCTTTCTTTTCACGTTGCCCGCCCGCATGCTGGAAGCCGCGGGGGTTGCCAAACCTGTGTTTGACCCGCCCTTTGCTCCTGGATTGCATGAAGAGCGAATAGTCTGAAAACAGCACAGTTTTTGGCCATGTTTGAAATGCAAGGAAATGTGTTCTGCGTGCTCCGGTTCTGGAGCCCCCACCTACGCAGCAAAACAAATTATCAGAAAAGGCTTCAATGAAATCAGCGCCTTGGAGATTCATGATGCTTGGCTTGTCCTTAAAAGAATGTGAGCAAGTCCTGAGCCCTGAATCCTGAATGTTTTTGCGATACTATGTGGATTGCCTTTTTGAATCTATGGATTGAGGACCAGACGCGATCATTCTTCAAAGCAGAACATCGCCCTAGTCATCTATATCGAGATATGACGCAGCAAAATGCACCTTCTGCTTGGTGTGCTCAGTGCTTTCGCGCACACAGGAGGCCCAACGTCGAGGAGGCTCCTTAACTGCGCCGGAAGGTCATCTTTCTTGTAGAGTGTTGTTCAATGGGTACGTCAGACATTCCATTGACTGCTTGACTCAGGATCTGTTTGTTTGTGGTTTCGTTTGCAAGAACTACAGCTCGGAGAATTCCAAGAAATCTTCAGCGGCTGATGTATCCTCCCTGTTCGTAGCCAGTGGTTTTGCTGCTCGCCCGCATGTGTTTTGGAGATGACGCAGGATTTGGAAAGTAAAGTCGGGGTTGTCATGTCAGCATGTCATGTCAATACAGCCGTGGTCGTCGCCTTGTTGCTTAGGAAAAGAATGGCCGCAGTTTCTTGGAGGCCAGTCGTCATATACGAAAACATGTGTCTGAGGAATTGTATCTTGGAAAACGTTCTGGGATGCCTTCATCAGCTATCCAATGTGTCCGCCAGCAGCGCGTACCAGGCCACCCGTTGCAGAGCACTCACACGCTTAGCAGCTTAGCAGTCTCTTTAATCTATCGACGATTGATGATTGTGAATTGAAGAATGCGGGTTGATGTGGTTCTCAGTCCAGCCTACATGCGCGAGTGTCGTGTGCATGTGGAGGTAGGTTGTCTGGCGCTTGCGGTCCAAGTGTGTGCTGCTACGAGGCATGTCTATCACTGCTGCTACTACTAGTACTACAACTACTACGACTACTATCACGACTACTAGTAGAAGTAGAATGAGTTAATGCAGTTCAATTCTTCAATTCTGTGAAGTCATTGCCGAGTTGTAGCCTCAGCAGTACTTGTTGCTGTTGTGGGCAGCACTCAGCATCCGCGATGTCTCTTTTAGCCGCCTTTGCCGTGGGAGTGCAAGGGAGGCTGGTGGATGCCCGGAGGAGTGCTGTCCGCCGCGCAAGCAGCAGCAGCACCATCGTATGTGAGGATAGCCGCGATGAGTCTGTGTCGCGGGAAAGTATGGCAGGCACCATGGTCCCGCTTCACGAAGCAAATAGAGGCGGCGACGAAAACGATGATCTTGATGAATCACTTGGACTACAGCCGCGCGCCTCACGAAGCGCGCTGGGTCGAAGCAATTCTACCAAACTCGGCATAGTGAATGCTCAGACTTTTGACGGCAGTAGTCAAAGAATCAATCAAAAATACAAGCCTTTTGAAACATATCTGTTCATTGTAAATCGTAACTTGTAACTTGTAACTACTGTGTAACTGTCTGTGTAACTGTATAACTGTATATCAGTTTATTTATTATATTATCTACTAGATCATCACTATTCCTTCCTTACTATTATTATTACTAACTATTCACTAACTGTATTTTTTTACACGCGCACCGTTCTTGAGGATGAGTGCTGCCGTTGATGGGCAATCAGCCTGCGAGGAACGTGGGAGTCGGGTGGCACGCTTGGTATTCGGGAGCGCCAACGCTGCTGGAGCTTCCAGGAATATATCTCAGAATCTGGCGTCACTTGGCTCAGCAGACAGCAGGTAACGTAGCAGGTTGCGCATAGGCTACCTCACGCAGCGTGCAGATTATTTGAAGTGCTTGTGGACGAGAGAACTGAAGTAAAGTAAGGACATTCGCAAACGAAGATGGGACGCAGGGGGTCTATGATTATTGTAGCGAGAGCCACCAGCAAAGACGCCGTGTGGAGGATGTGGCCTTAGTATCGCATGCCCGCGCTCAAAAAAATGCTCTTGTGCAATTCATCGGCCAGCTCCGGTGGAAGCATATGATCTACACTGCCATATACGACGACACGAATGTGTGGGCTTCTTGGCCGGTATTGAATTTGCAGCTTACTTAATTGTGAGTCACGAAAACTCGCACAGATTGTCTTCCAACAAGCTGTCTTCCTTTGGTGCTGCGCAGGTGCAATCTGCTGGCATACGCAAGCAGCTGAAACCGACGCAGCCTGTAGCAAACAAGCAGAAGCGGGGAGGTGAGAGAGGCAGCAACTGCATGCATGTGCCGTTGCTGGGCCTGCTACAAAAGATTTCCTTGCGTGAAGCTGTTGCTGACGGCTCTGTGCAAACAGCGCTGCCCTCAGATCAACTTGTCAGGTGACTAGCGACTTGCTTGCGCTGAGCAGCAGTCAAAAGATGTTCAGGCGCACGTGCACGCGCCTGGCCGAGTCCTGCCTTGCGGCAACGCAGCCACGATTTATGATCGTTTGCGGCGATGGAGCTTCTTTTGTAGTTCTGGTTCCGCGGAACATCTTGGAGTCTTGGAGGGGGCGAACTTGCGCAGGCTGCTGCCAGAGTGCCGCTGAAGATACATGTTCACGTGACAGATGCACTGACAGTGAACACATGTATCCACGGCATGGAAGAACGCGCGTGGGAAGAGCGCCGCCGGAACGGCGATGAGGATGCACGATATGTGGCACGGATAGTGAACTATTGTCTTCACCATCAAGCGTCGCCATCCAAAAAACCTTCACTGCTCCAAATCCCCAAGCTGTGTTCTGGCCTCGTTCGCATGTGCGCCTCAGCTGCACATGTCGCAACAAAGTTGGGCTAGGGCTAGATGAGTGTTTCATGATTGACTTTGAATTTTGTCAGACTGATGGGGCGCGGCAATCAGAATCAGCATCTGATAACTTGATAGAATCCGAACAGAATCGCTGCATCATTGAAGCGTGCTTAGCAGCTTGGCGTTAGCTTGTTTCAGTGCTGCGATGGCCCATGCCCAGGCAGATCCATGACTTCAAGCCGATTTCGGGAGAAGTTTCTTGCAGCGCTTGAGCACAAAGCGCGAGATGTCAGGCAAGTGATTGTGGGCCGGCTTCCAGATGAAGTGCAAGAATGGAGACGGGCTAACCGACAGGCCCTTGATCTGTGCAGGGATGGACTCTCCGAGGCAGAAGTGGACGGCATCCTGGATTTCTTCAACGCCAAATTCGGCGGCGGTTGGGTTCACTATTGTGGTCCGGGCTGTTGCAACAGCCCAGAAGACTTCCGCGCGAGCCCGGGTTTGCGTGTTCAAAAAGTACGTTGTTGTAACTAGTTGTAGCTAAGTTTTAATTTCATGTGTGCTGAAGTAATAGTAAGCACGGCAGCGGTAAGGAAGGCGCTGGCGTACTTCACACTTGCGATAGGGTGCTTCCCGCCCGTGCCACTGCTCTACAGGTGGAAACACTTTGAACAGGCCGCCTCCTTCTGTCTTCGAGGTTTGATTCTGAATCGAGTCCTTGTTGACGTGCTTCTGCAAGTTTATGGCAAGTCAGACGAAGACGTGGAAGCCACGGCCGCCGAGATCGACGAAGACGATCCAGATGCATCCTTTGCGCAGAGGCAGAAGGTCCGTGTTGGCAAGACTGTCTCCTGCTGCAAGATCCAGGAGTGGATGCAGCTGGGCTGAGCGCAAGTAATTTTGTTTCGATTGGTTGTTTCCTCTTCAGTTGGAGTCTCCCCTAAATTCATGAAGTACATGACTCAGATAGCCGAGGAGAAGTTGCACCAATCACTTCTGATAAGCCTGCCCATTCGCGATTTCATGGATGAGCTGTCCCTGGCTGACACCTGGCGGCAGAGATGGGAAGCCAAACAACTGGGCATCCGCCTAGTTGGCAGTGACTGCGAACACTTGCAAGAAGCCACGGTTGTCAATGCCACAATTGATTCCTGGCTGGGGGCCTCGGGCCTGCGAATAGTGCAGAAGTATACCGAACAGCTGCTGGCTCCTGCTGACTCCCCTCCATGGCAAGCTTGGGATTCGGCACGGTCCCAGGCAACGTTCGGCAGCACTGCAGAACTCCTGCTGATCACCATGTCTGACGCATGGCGACGCCTGGTATTTGCACGCAAGCGGCAACCATACGAGGACACGAGTTCAAATAAGTTTAACAGTTTAACTAACTGACTGATATTATGCACCGCCAAATTGCGCGCAGGTCTTTCGCATCGTTCAGCTCCCGCCCGCCGAAGCCAGGGACTATCTGAAGGAGCTGCTTGTGAAGCAAGAAGCTTGCACCATTTGCAGTCATCCTCCATTCACGGGCGTTTTGCTGGATTACTTCAAAGCCAGAGATGAGAGCGTTGAAGCCGCCCAGCAATTGCAGGCGGCGCTGTATGACACAGCCCTCTCAGCCACCTGCTCCTCGCAGAATGTTGAAAAGTTGCACGCCCACGCGCAAGTCTCGCAGAAAACGCTCCAGAATGCAGGCCCCCGCCCAGGCACACTACAACGTCAGACCTATGTGATGGCAGCGCGCATTTTGCACAGCCGCATCAAGGGCCTCATTGAGCGGGAGGTATTTGGTGGCAACTTTGCGAGGGCTCGCAAGTTGATGGGGGCACGCGTGGTGTCACGCAGCAAAGCAGCAAATCCCTCTCTCAAAAATTACGCGGCTGGAGCAGCGCAAGAAGGCCGCAAGCGGGCCAAGTTTGTGAGACAGCAAGTCCTGAAGATCCAGACGAAAGCCAGGACGCAGAAAAGAAGGAACACGTGGCACGCGTTCCTCGCCCTCCAGAATGGGCGCACTTGCCAGTGAACCGCAGGCATTGTCTGATGAATACAAGACATGGCTGTCCAACCCTCAGCAGCGTGAGCATTTGTTGGAGAAAGCAGAGCAGATGGCGGCGGCCAGGCAAGCAGTGTCGGACACTGTTTTGGGTGCGGACGTGGGTGGTGGTGATGAAGATGGTCAGGCGGTGGATGCTGCCAATCTGTCAGAGCGGCAGAAGGCTAGGCTGGGGCAGGCCCGGTTGAACAAGTCCCTAGCAGCTTTGTTCAAGCATCCTGCATGGGGGCAAGGTCTGCGTGCGCAAGACCCCAACACGGCGCTGGCGGCGTCTCACGTGTTGAGTGAGAATGCATTGTCCGAGCAGCAGTCCCGCGAAGAGTCGAACGCATTGTTTCATTTCGATGCGCAGGTGCTTGAGAACCCAGCGGCGATGCCATCCATGACTCGAACATGCCAGGAGACACACGGTGGATTGTGCCAGGAGGAGTCCGGGTCAGCTGAGGCTAAGTTCTTAATTCTTAAATCTTATATGATTACTATTCCTACTACTGTACTGTATACTGTATACTGTATACCGAGATATTGATATAGACGATAGCCTAGCCTATGGTCTTCGTCTTAGTCTTAGTCTGTCAAGTTATTTTTTCGCAGGCAAGCTTGCTGGTTGAGCAGCTGCACCACGTGTTGAAGCAGAACAAACTGGACCAGCCTGGCACGCTCATCCGCTTGCAGTACGCCGACGCTGAAGTGGCTGGTCCGGACCCTGACCGAAGATGGTTTTTCATGGGCTCGCTTCAGAAGATGCGGCCTCAAATTCTGCATACGTTGGTTCACTTGACTCCCCGCAGTGATGCCAATGCTGAAGCAGACTTGCGATGGGTTCTTCGTTTGGACATTGTGGACTCGGAGCTTGAAGGACAACGCATGGCTCGAATCTCCACCTCCCACCAGGTCTTGCGCTCCATGTACACGCAGCGTGCTCATCATTCGCAGGACATTGCTGTGTGTGTCTGGAGCTCGATAGCTGCCGAGTCTTCTGATGATTTCGGAAATGGCTTCCTGGCGCAATCGGAGCCCAGCCTCACCGCAACGCTGGGCCCCTCTTTCAAGGCAGAGATTCAGCAGAAGCAGACCGCAAAGCCAGCCCGTGCGGCAGCCCGCGTGCAGATCAGTGAAATAGTCAATAGTCAGTTGAGTCAATTGATTTTCTAAACCCCAATATGATATAACTATAACTAACTTCTAACTTCTAACTTATAACTCTTATAACTTATAACTTATAACTTTAATTATTTCGGCTATAATTTAGTAATTTAGGGCCGAGGGTTTAGGCTATAGGCTATAGGCATAGGCTATAGGTTATATAATATAGGCTTATAGGCTTATAGGACTTATAGAACTTATAGGCGTATAGGCCTGTGTAGGCATAGGCTTCGGTTGTAGGACGGTACACAGCCCGGATTTTGTGGACTTTTCAGGCACCTCGGCTGCCTTTCGGCTTGTCGGTTCGGCCAGCCCCCAAGCCCAGCAAGAAGGAGAAACCTGCGCAGCATTCAGCGCAGCAGAAAACAGAGCTTCTCTGGACGAGTCTGGAGGGCCGGCGCTCGAAGCGACAGAAGATGGAGGCCACGAGCGAGGAAGCAAACGTGGGATCGGCGTCGGGGTCAGCAGCGAGTTCATCTGCGGCACCAGCTCCACGTGAGGAGTTGTGGGACCTGGACGCTGCTTTGAGCAACGAGGCGGAAGCTGAGCTGGAGCAGGCCGAGCAGATTCTGGCGATCCCAGTCTTGCAGGACGAGGAGCAGGAGGAAGCAACTGCTGGTCAAGCAAGAGCAGCAGAGTCACGTCCTGCACCTCCGCGCATTAAGAGGCTGATCGGCTTGCGCGGCTTCGATGTGGCACCCAATCGAGGGTCAGGCTCCAAGTGCTACCTTTGTCAGGCTCAGATTTCCAAGATGTCCGTGAGATTTGATTACCAGTTCTCAGAGTCGGGAAAGATGTCACGGTACATACATCCCGAGTGCTGCTCCCTGATTCCTGAGAAGGGGCGCGCGAATTCGTTAAATTTCTTGCGGCAGCACGCAGACTCAGATGTGGCCGGCGAACAAATCCAGAGTGCCATCACTGTGCCGTCCAGCATGTGAATGCTGAATTCGAAATGATGAATTAGAAAGTTTCGACTTCGCTAACAGCAGCGAACCCATGCAAGCCGACGCTAACAGGTGTTCATTAATTGCTGGACACCACGACCCTACAATGCCCTACCTCTTATAACTTATAGCCTAACTTATAGCCTTATGGCCTAAAGCCTATAGCCTATGGCTCATAGTCTAGTCTTATAGTACTTAGTTATTGTTATATGAATAAACTTGACGAAGAGGTGAGGCTTCGCAGCTTTTCCGTTGGCTGCCGAGCAGGAAGTAGGCCACTCACCACTCGCTATCGCCGTGGGTAGACCGGCAAGAAAAGTCAGTTCAGGTTCTAGTTATAGTCAGCTATAGTCTCCCTTAAGTTGAAAGGGTCTGGGGTATTCATTAGCATGAGAGGTAATGTTTCGTATTGGGTAATATTGCTCAATCCATCCATATTCTATCTATCTTCTTATAGGGGGGGCTATAGCGTCAGCAGTGCCGTGCAGACAGCATTCTGAATTCATGACTATGTTCATTGCTGCGTAGCTTGTAGCCTGTGAAAACTGCGCGCTGGCCAGTGTCCCTTGGACTTCATCCTCCGTGGCGTTCTGCCTTGTGGAGAAGAATTCCTGCTTCCTGGCAGGTGTGATTCACTTCGACTTCATGACTATGATTCAATTCTTGCTAATCTGAGTAGACTATACGACTCAGATTTGATTTTGTGCGTCCGGAGTCCGGAGAATGACTCTTGTGATTCCATTTCCTGAATATTGACTGTTGACTATTGACAGTTGACACAGTAGATTACTGACTATGGACTGTGGATGCTTTGCTCAGAGCTAGCCAAGGACTACCTGCTGCGGGTCATGCAGTTAAAGTGCCTCGGCCATGGCCTGTGGTAGAGCCATATGCAAACCTAGCGTAAAACGTGTCAGCTATGGCATGTGCGCTGAAAGAGTCTGGGGGGGCATCGCAAAAGAGGTCCGCCTACCGGTTGAGATATTTGCTGGGGAGCTGCAATACAAGGACGCGCGTCATGCGCTGGTCTTGGGAGCCACCCCATCCTATCCTACCTTAGAATTAATTTGAATTAACACATACTATTTTGACATTACCATGGCCTGCCCTACTCTACCCTATCCTATCCTACATGGATGCGCTCAGCGGAACATCGTGGGTGCATCCTCCCACCATATAGTGCGTAGATGGGTACTAGCAGCTGCTAGCCATAGCACTAGTGATAGTGATAGCAATAGCAATAGTAGTTGCAGTAGCAACAGCGCTAGTAGCAGTAATAGTAATAGAGTAATAGTAATAGTAATAGTAATAATTAATAATAATAGTAATAGTAATAGTAATAGTAATAGTAATAATAAGAATAGTAATAGCAGTAGTAATAAAAATATGATAATAGTAATAAATAAGGATAGCAATTGTAGCAGTTGCTATGGTGAAGGTGGTGGTGGTCTTAGCGGTGGCGGCAGTAGTGGCACGGCGGCTTTGTGGCCGTGGGTAATGGTTGTAGTAGCAGTTGCGGCGGCGAAGGCGGTGGTGGGTTGTGGCCGTGGGTGATGGTTGTGGCCAGGGCGGCGGCCGGCGTGTACGGATGGGTGGGGGATTTGAAGGTTTCAGGTTTAGACACCTGATGGTTTCAGTTTGAGGGTTCAGGGCCAGGATGTAGGCTGTGGGAGGCAATTTCTGAAGCGATAAGGGCCAGGGTGTAAGTTTAACGAGTCAAGGTTTGGGACTTAAGTTTTCAGAGGTACAGGGTCCAGGGTTTAGGGTTAGATTAAGTGTAAGGGAAAGCTTAGGGATGTTTAGGGTATGAGTCCATGGCACAGTGATTGACAATGACACAATGCTGCTAGTAGGCTCGCGTCGCCTCTGGAAACACGACTGTCGCCAGGTGCACGATCGTGTCCTAATCAGAGACTTGAAATGTTTGACTCATGAGTACTAAGGAACATGCGATCACCTGCGACGTGAACACTCTGTCCAAATCGACTCCCTTGCGCTGTCGCTCGGAGGCTCGGCGTCCACACGAACCATCACAAAGTAAAGTCGGCCACGTTGCTGTAGCACTCCAAAATCGCTACTCCTTGGCTAGATCAGCAATTCAATAGGGCAAAAACAAGGCTTTCCGCCGTGACCCAAACAAGCCAGACAAAGGTCTGGCTCATGGATTGGGCTGGGGTGGCAGATGCCGAAACCCAGCCTAACAACTAGCAAAGATAATAGGGAATGAGTTAGATAATAGAGAGGGCAGTCATTTTCGTCGATAATGACCACCCTTCTCCATTATCTAATTCGTTTCTTATTATCTTTCTGAGCAGGTATCAGTAAAGATTATCGGGGATGAGTAGGCAATAAAGAAGGGTGGTGAATTTTCGTTGGAAATGACCATCCTTCCCTATTTCTAATTCATTCCTTACTAGCTTGCTTAGCAGATGCTAGTAATAGAGAATGAGTTAGGCAATAGAGAAGGCTGGTCAATTTTGTCAAAATTGACCATCCTTCTCTATTATCTAATTTATCTCCTATTTGCTTTGCTATCACCTGCTAAGCTACATGTGTATTGCACATCTTTTTGCGGGGTGGAAGACGACGTGGCGCAGAACATTCCAAAGAGGGCTTCAGAGGCGTGGAGTCAGGTCCCTGGGATCAATTTGCAGGGTCTGAATCGTCCACACTGACACCTGTGTATCTAGTCACTGCTTTGCAAAAGCGGCGCAACCATCTTGGATATGGACCTGAAATTGGTGCATGCGTGATTAACTTTATTTGACAATTTTCCACAATCAACCAAACTTTTCTTCATGAAAAATCGATCAAAATTGCGCTGCCATGCAAGGCATTGGAAAAAAAAATATATATATATATATTTGTTAAAGATGTTGTTAGGTTTCATTAAACCCCTCCAGATTTACTTCGGCTGGGGCTGGAACGTCTAGGCTGCGAGGCCTTGCGACGCCGTCAGTCGCCCCGTATCCAAAAGGCGGAGCAAAGAACACCACCACTACGTCCCGCACTCAGAAACAAGAAGTGACGATTTC